AAGTCACTTGGGTGGCTATAGACACTGAAATGGAATAAATTAGCCAAACGAAGGCCGAGTTGCAGGCCTTTTCTAAGGATGTGCACAGGAAATCTTTCACTCTGGGACATCCACACAGAGCTGGTGTTTGCTGTGTAGTGTGTCAGCTTTTACTTGGGGTTAAATTATGATTGTTGTTGCAGAAAAACCGACGGCCAGGGGAAAAAAAAACCCGGTGTGCACCTATTGGAGCCTATTGGAGACCCCCGGCTGCTTGCGAGCTGTGACTCCTTCCTTCTCTGGACCTTCCGCGCTCCTTTTATGCTCCAACTGACCTCCTCCTCCTCCTCCCTCTGTGCCGCTGGTTGCCCGGAGGGTGAAGATGCTCAGCCGTTTGTCGGGGCTGGCCAGCACCGTCCTGCACGAGCTCTCGGGGGAAGGAGAAGATGGCGGGACAGCACCGTCCCCCGCCGTAAGTCGACTGTTCTCTCCCGGACCAGTTTGGCAATGAGGAAGTTGGTCCGATCCAACTCAGTCTCTTCTTAGAAGCCTCCAGTAAATGGAGCACCTACAGCTTCAGTGGGGATAAAGCTGGAAGAGACTTTGGAGGCCATCCAGTCCAGCCCCCTTGCCCAAGCAGGAGACCCTGTATCGTTTCAGACAAGTGGCTGTCCAGTCTCTTCTTGGAAACCTCCAGGGATGAAGCCCCCACAACTTCTGGTGGCAAGCAGTCCCCCTGGTTAATGGTCCTCACTGTTAGGAAGTTTCTCCTGAGTTCCAGCTTGCTTCTCTCCTTTTCTAGTTTCCATCCGTCGTTTCTTGACTCGCCTTCTGTTGTTTTGGAGAATAGCTTGACTTCCTTCTTCTTTGTGGAGGCGAGTCATTCCACTCATGAACTGTTCGTACCGCAAAGAAGTTTCTGCTTAATTCTAGGTTGGATCTCTCCTTGCTTTGGGGCAAGTCAGCCAACCATTACTGGCCGCCTTTTATTCAAAGCCAGCATTCTTCATGGTTCTTGAGTCAATTGGATGGTGGAACATGGACAAAGCAACTGGTATCAAATTGAATGGCTGTGTCAACTCTCTAAATTAAGTAACTAAAGATAAGACAATCTTGAGTCCTTTGGAGCTGCCCAGAGTCACCTTATCGGTGGGGCAGCATATAAGTATAAATAAAGGGCAACCTATAGAAGTATGAGAAATAAATAAAACAGTGGTACCGTGGCCTGGTGGTGGAGCTCTCGCCTCACCATCAGGAGGCTGTGAGTTCGATCCTAGGTAGAGGCCGATGTTTCTCTTTCTGGGGACGATGAAAATATATCTGCTGAACAAAACTCCACATTGGTGACAGGAAGGGCATCCGGCCAGTAAACATTCAGCGCCGTTCAGTTGCCCAGATTCCACCCCACAAGGGATCGTGGGCGCGTCAAAAGATAAACAAAATAAAAGAAAAATAAATAAAAAGATAAATAAAGCAGCAGTCAGCACCGCTTAATAATCTAGCAGGCAACCTATTCCACGTTTATATTTAATTTTAATTTTAGTTTGATTTAGTTATCTTAGCTCTCGGCTTCAGAGGAAATAGGTAGTTTTTTAAACCTTTGAGAGTTGCTCATTTGTGGCAGAATGGACAGGTTGACCTTTTCGAAAAAAGAAAGGGACAATTAAGGGTACCTGGGCACTGTGTCTGACCCCCCCCTCCCTAGGCAGCACTAAATGAATGGTGGGCCCCTTGTTCCTTCTCAGACATTCATGTGACACCAACCCTTGTTTGGAGACCGAGAGCTTGGAAAGCTCCGGGGTGACTTAAGAACTTCTGCTTCCTGTTTCCCTCTCCTCCTCCCCCCCGCCTGCCCCCCAGGGACCGGAGTTTGAATCCAGCCAGCAGAACATGGAGGAGGAGAGCCCAGAAGATGTGCTGGAACGGCTGGCCCACATGGAGAAGCTGGTGGCGCAACTGAAGACACTGTTGCGGGAGAAGGACGCTCAGCTCCATCAGAAGGATGCCATGCTTGAGGTGGGTGGAAAACGGATGCCCTCTTTTCTCCGGGACAGGAACTTCCGTGTGTGTGTGTGTGTGTGTGTGTGTGAAGATGGGACTAAAACTCACAGCCTCCTGGTGATTGGCCCAAAGTCACCTGTTGTCATGCCCCTGTCGGAGTCTGAATCCGAGGAGGAAGATGAACAGCTGACAGGGAGCGGGAGTGTGGCTCCGTTGGCTGTGGAGGAAACTGGGGAAGGGCAAAGTCCAGCTGGGCAGAGCAGGGGAGGGTAGAACAAGGGAGAGGGAGTTCAGAGGAAGACCCAGACCCACCCCCTCTTCATCCTAGGGCAAGCAGGGAGGAACGGAGAAGGGAGCAACGTGAGTTGCCTGGCTTACGGGGGAGGAAAGGGCCCTGATTCCCTTCATTAGCCACTCTTGGGAATGAGAGTTTAAAAGAGATGCAAGCTGAGTGCAGTGTCTTCTGGGAACAAACACGAGTTTATCTCGTGGTGACTTTGCTTATCTGCGTTCCTGTCATCCTCCCAACTGTTTTGAGTTATTGCCCTTCCTTCACATCTGGAATTCCTTCTCCTGCCCTGCCGGATTAATTACCTCCTTTTGCCTTGATTGGACTTATGGTTAACAGTTTTTGTTGACCACGTTTCGGACTGGATTCTCTGCAGCCAAAGGCTGTTTACCTGGGAGAGGTTTTCTCCAGCCCAGAAGGTAACCAGGACATTTGGGGCAAAGTTGGAGCTAATAAAGGAATTCCTACTGATTATCTGACTGGGTTGCCTTTGTGCCACACCCCTTTGGGTCCTCACACCTGTTGGCTTTCATGCCTAAAGGCGAGACTAGAACTCCCAACCTTCTTCTGATTGGCTCAGATTCACCCAGTTGGCTTTATTTATGACAACTGGTGTTTACTTCTGGTTTTCAGCAACAAATACCCTA